CTCAAGGCCGGCAGAGCTGAGCCACCGGGTCTTCAAGGCTGCAACCTTCTGCAAGAATACCAGAAGACCTTCTTCAGAAAGACCTCTGGGTTTGAAGCATCCACCTTAGTGGTTTGAGCCCTGCCAAGGGTGGCGGGGGGCAGCGTTAGGTACAAAGAATTTTCAGGGCCAAGACGGGGCCTCCAAAGTCATTTGTACCCAACTGAATCCCTTTATGGATGGGAAACTGAGGCACAGAGATGGGGAGGGGCATGGCAGGTGCTGGAGCTAGAACACGAAGATCCTGGCTTAGTTCTCTCGCTGGACACCAGTCTTCAAGGCCCCAGCCTATATGCCCTGGGGTCTGAGCCCAGTCTCCTCTGATTGTGGGAGAGGCTGGCTAGGTGGGGAAGCTGGCCCAGGGCGGTCCCCTGGCAGCTGGTGGCCGCGCTCCTCACCCTGTTGAACTGGGACCAGGACACGGACATGCTGCTGTATTCCTCCAGGTGGCTGCTGCTGTGATTGAACAGCTTCTGCGCCAGGAACACGAGGTTCTCCTTGGTCAGGCCCCGGCTGCTCTGCACTTCTGCCTTGAACTTCATGTTGAGCGCCTCACACAGCTGCGGCCACAGCACTTTGTCGGGGACGGCAAACGGCACCCTGCCCTGAGAGGGGAAAGGTGAAGATTAAATGAGATATCATGTAGGCCCGGGAGAGGCAGACAGGATCGTGGAAAAGTAGGGGGGCTCTTACACACACACACACACACACACACACTTCTCCTGACCCCCCACCCCAGGGGGACGAATAAAGAAGTGTGGGTGAAGGTAGACAATGGACAGTGTGAGACATGAAAGAGCACAGTAATATATAATTAATCAAAGATTCATGAGGGTGAGAAGGTGGGGGAGGGAGGGAGGAAAAAGAGGAGCTGATACCAAGGGCTCAAGTAGAAAGAAAATGTCTTGGACATGTTGACAGCAACATATGTGCAAGTGTGCTTAGAACAACTGAATGTTGGATTGTTATCAGATTTGTAAGAGCCACCAATAAAATGATTAAAGAAATGAAACAGAGAAGGGGGCAAGAGGGATGATATGCAGGGACAGAGGCCCAGGCCAGGGGATGGAGGACTAAGACCAGAGCCCCTAGACCAGTGGTTCTCAACCTTCCTAACGCTGCCACCCTTTCATACAGTTCTTAATGTTGTGGTGACCCCCCAACCATAACATTTTCATCGCTACTTCATAACTATAATTTTGCTACTGTATGAATAGGCAACCCCTGTGAAAGGGTTGTCTGACCCCCAAAGTGGGTCAAGACCCACAGGTTGAGAACCGCTGCCCTAGACCAAGCCGCAGGCCTGGGAGCCCCTGGGTCCCAGAGGGCAAGGACACTTACCATCAGCTGCCCTCCTTACCACCACCCCCACCTCCCCCATCCCCCACTTCTCTGGACTGGCCCGGGCAGGTGAGGGCCCACTCAACAGAGGCCCAAAGGGTGGAGGCCGACGCTGAGGGGTCCCACGGGGCCTCACCGGCTCAGCAAAGGCGTTGTCCCACAGTACAGTGGCCGTGGCATTGTGGTCCTGGCTTCCATGAACAATGACAACCACAGGAAGGGACAGGGTCTGCAGGAGCCCAGATAAGGAGATAGGAGGGGCTGTGACCGCCATCTTGCTTAGTGGGACTCAAACCTCACCCACCACCACAACGACCAGCATCCCCAGCCCCTGGCAACAAATCAAAAGCAACAGAAAGACCCAGCTCATCTCTCCTGGGCCCCTGTCCTAACGATTCGATTCGATTCGGGGGCCCGTGCCGGATCTTAAGCTAGCCGCCGGACACCGGCAGCCTCGCGGCAAGCACGTCTGTGCCCGAGCAGACCCGCTCCCCACAGTGACTAAGTGTTCAGAACTCAATCACCAGGCCTGTCTTCCTCCACCCTGGTGGTGAGTGAGTGAGTGCATTCATTAACTGTTGGCTGCACCCAAGGGCTCCCTGCAGCCGTGCAGGGGTTCTGCTGGGGTCGTGGGGAGCTGATGGGTGCCCTGTATGTGCATTCGAAAATCTCCAGGTGTCTGATCCTCAGCCCAGCCATGTGGCCTCAGGTAGACCCTTATACCTCTAGGCCACTGGGCAGCATCCAGGTGGGGTGGGGTGGGGTGGGGTTGGGGCCTCACCTTCACCTGGAACACGAGCTCGTTGCTGCCCACGCTGAACTGAGACTCAAACAGGACCGTGAACTTCTCCTCCGTCACAGACTCGGCGCCCCGGCGGTCCGCCCGCTTGATCCTCTTTAGGGACTGGGGGTGGAGGTAGAGGTGGGGGGTGGTCAGAGGGGAGCGGGAGATGGCGTCTGGCTAGGAGGGCTCAGCTCCGAGTGGGCCTTCTTCCCTCCTCGGGGTGGGGCCCTGGCCTCACCATGTTTCTGAAGTGGGCACTGAGGGTGCCCGTGGCTTGGTGGTACTCCATCACGCAGCAGTTGTTCAAGATCTCCCCACTGCACTCGCTGCCAAGAGAAAGGGTGTGCCCCAGCTCAGACAGGCCACAAAGCCCTGCCAGCAGCGCCCCCCGCCCCCTTCCACCCTCCACGAAGGGGCCACCAGTCTTCTCCAGCAATCGGGGAGCCCAGAGGCCTCGACCCTTCGGTCCACGGCCTACCAGGTCCGTCCTGATCTGCTCCCCACCCCCACCCCCTGGGAACGTGTCCTGACTCCTGACTGGACTCCCCACGCTGGCCCTGATGGTCTGCTGGGAATGCCACCCCTGTTTCCACCTCGCCTCTTTCCCCGCTTGGCGTGAGGGTCCTCGACCACGTGGCCTGCTCCCCCCTCTCCCCCAGATGTGAGGCCATCGCCCTGGGTGGACTTTCTTTCCACACTCTGCCACTTTCCATTGGTCTCATTTTGCAGAAGCACTGCGATCGCTCTCCAGGTAAACGAGGGGAGCGCTCTAGGAAGGTGAGCTGTCGCACTGCCGGAAGCCCTGCCTCTGGGACTGTAAGCAGCAGCGAGTTATCCACGGAGTGGGGCGGGGGCAGGGTTCAGAGGGACTTCCAGACCCCCGAAGGCCTCGAGGAATCAGCTCATGAAGGCCACCTGGCCCACCCACATAGAATCAGATGCTCCTTCTCGCTGGGTCAAGAGCAGGGAGGTGGCACTGGGTCAAGAGCAGGGAGGTGGCGGGTAACTAGGCAACAACACAGGGAGTGTGGACTTCACCTGGGGCCTCCGCCACTGTCCCCCAGACTATGCGGAGGGTCCTAGAGCAACATTTCTAAACCACACGAGGCAAGACGGGCAGCCAGCCTCCTGCGCCATGCAGGCACGCTCCCACTTGTGCCTGCACATCTCGTGGGTGCAAGGCGGGGTGGGGGTGGGGCTCTGAGGCCCCTGTCTGGGTTCTCTGTGTCTCCACAGGTCTTTCTAGAAGCTCCTCCTTTCCGGCTCTGCCTGGAAAAGTCCCCCATCCCCCCGGGCAGGCAGCAGCATGCAAGATCGCCTGCACCACCTTCTATTTCCAGAGCACTCCAAGCACCTGCTATGCTCGTAATCAGTCTCTTGTCTAATGGCAGCTGGCCTCCCAGCTAGCCAGTGAGTGGGGTGAGGTCAGAGTCCAGGTCCACTGGACCAAGCTGTAGCCCCAAAGCTCAGCACCAGGCCTGGAAGGCCAGGGCAGAGCAGTGCCTGCTGACCCGCTATGTGGCAGGTATGACCGGGCGCCAGGGAAGCTCAGAGCAGGGCAGAGCTAGGGAGTTAGGGAGACACCAGGCATCCCTATGTTCCCCAAGAGGGGCAGAGGTGAGGCCGGCGCAGCTCAATTACTTGCGGGTGTTCTCGTTCTTGAGCAGAGACTTGGCCTGCTGCTCGCTGATGATGGTGGCCTTCACCTGGGGCG